GGAACGCGAGCGATCGAGGGCCGCGGGCCGTGGAAAGTCGAAGGCCTCTTGCGGCCATCCCCGTCGGCTTTGTCGCCGAATCTTTCGAGAGTCGTCACGACGAGAACGTTTTCGAAACGATATTACACTCGCGTTAAGTGGCGCGCTAAACTCGCTCAACTCCTAATGGACATCGTCGAGAAGGTTGGCAAGTTTTGCTCGAGCAACGCGGAGGTGGGAGACGACGAGCGGGATAATAGGAAACTTTTCGAGCCGTCGCGGCGCGTGCGATTCGCTGCGAAGCCCTAAAGGGGCACCGACGTTCATCGACGTAATCTTTAAACGCGCACAACTTGCGAGCTCGTGTCTACTCGCTTCAACTGCCTGCGCTTTGCGGATTATATTTTTAAATCCTCGGAGTGACGAGACCTCGCGGCCCGGCGATCTACCGCGAGATGCGGACGATCGAAAACGCGAGATTCGATCGCGGCGTTCTTTTGTTCGACCGGTTCGACTCGGCCGACTTTTTCTCGCGGACAAATTAGATTCTCTTCGACTACGTGACGCGGATTAATTAGCAGTTAACCGAGTTGCCCGAATTTCCTTCTTCCGCCCACCGTCTCTCGTCTTTCTCTCCTCCTCGCCGTTTCTTTCTTTCGAGCAATCTCTCCTTGCCTCTGTTTCTCGAATTATTCTTCGTTGGCTCTCGTTTTCCTGAAAAGAGAAGAGAGAGAGCGAGAGAGAGAGAGAGAGTCGAAAAGTCGTCGAGTTGCAGAGAGTAGCCGAGGCAAAAGAGGACGTTCCCGGAAAGCGGTGGTTGGCGGTGGCACGTTGGTGCAGCGAGGCGGATGTAGAGTCGACTGGCGCCCTACTACACGCGCGTTCTCCCACAGCTCGTTAATTGGAGCTTTGGCTCATCAAGCATCGTCGTCGTTGCCGGTATCGTTGCCTCTGCCATCGTCATTTCTGAGCGCCTCTCTCCGCGTCTTCCCTCGCTCGCTCATCCGTTTAACGATCTCTAGGTCTTGCACCGTCGTCACGGTTCGCCTATCCGCACGCTTTCGGACTCTCTTTCTCTCTCTCTCTCTCTCTGTCTCTCTCTTTAAAGTCTAAATCTATAACTTTCGAGCCGTGCTAAAATATATAACTCTCGACATATCGACCATTACACCGGCGAACACGCAAAAGCCTATTCGACGATTCCGCTTCTCGAAGTTCCGACGAGGCGAACGGAACCCTGGCGTTTCTCTCACCTGCTCCCTATTGATGAACCATTTGAGCGTCGCGGCGGGATGGGACTTGCCGCTGGTGCAATTCAGCCCGAGGACGTCGCCGGTCGCGTAAACCTTCTCCTCGCCCGTTATCGACGGCCCGTCTTGCGGCAGAACTGCAATCACATCGAGAACATTTACGCGCGGTCGCTTATTCTCCTCACTGCTATCCACGCTCCGCTCTACTCTCTGTCTCGCTTCGTCTCGTGGCTTTTTTAATTTAAAGGCTCTTTTTGTAACGCGATCTACGCGAACGACGATAAGGACCTCCTCGTTAACGACCAAAATTCAACGACGCTTTCCACGCTCATCCCCTACAAAGGAGGAACTCATCTGTTGCGTGTATAGTATTTGATCGGGAACAAGCCACGATTCTGCTTATTTTTTATTACGCTGTCCAATTTAGTCAGTTTCAACCGTCGCATTAATTTCGTTGCGACAGAAATAATTAACCAGTCGACACGTTTCACGATCCTTCTGTTTTCCTTCGAACAAAGTCAAATTCACTTCTCCTCGTACGTACGTGTACGACGTATATCTTTTATTCGTAGGTATATGCGGTTGATAATCGATTATTTCTGACTGCTGTCCAAAGTTAATGCTTTATCGTAAAATTTTGATACAGATTTTCATCTGCAGGATCCGTCACGCGTCAAATAAATCGCTGCGAACGTCATCTCTCGCGAGAAACAGCGACGACTAAATGACATTCCTTAAAACGGTCGAGACCACTTTGTTTGCACTCGTTACGGCATTGCAATATTAAGTGGTTCGAAAATATACACACGACATAACGTTGCCAAGATAGAAAAAGAATCGTTTGTTATTCTTCCCTGAAGCAAGTAAACGCCGAATTCTCTTAAATGCAGTAATTACGGGAAAAGTCGAAGAATATCCGAGAGAAAAGACGATTGCGAACAACAAAGGGAGAATCTTGTGTACCGACGAATATAAAATCAATCGATGTATTCAATTCCATTCCGCTATAAATAGCGAAACGTTACCGCGAAAGAAGCTTCTATAAAGACACGTCAAATATCTCTTCTTCGTTACGAATTTCCCCAACGACCTAATTTACACGTATTTTCGATTCGATCGTTGCACGTATCAATACCAACGACTTTTTCGTATTTAGACAGTCGTTTCGGAATACCGCGAATCATCTGCTGTCTCTTTCGCTTGCTTTTAGTTTGCTCGATCGATGCAACGTAACGGAAAATCCGACGTAAGTATCGTACATGGGAAAAATCACTCGCGAATTCGAACGATCGATGCCGACGTTTCCATTGCGCGAGCACGCGTACCGTCGCGTAGATCGATCGACACGCGATCGAAGCTCTTCCTATTTCTCGAATATCTTAGCAAGATTGCCAGCGTTCGCGACTCGAGATTTAATCTGGACCAGTTGGAGGAAACGTTCCGCCGTCGGATCGTTTTCGAGAGCACGATCGCGATAAAAGTTCATCCCCTCGATAAGCCTTCGAAGCTGTCACGACATCCCGCTTGGAATATTCAACGAAGCCATTCGCGACTGCTGCCGGATTGATCCTTTCGCGCGTCGCGTTCAACCTTACGCGCAAAGATACACAATTCGCCTTACAAGGGGACCTTGCCTCTCCTCTCTCCTTCTCGCTTTTTTGCTTCACGTTATCGAGAGAGAGAGAGAGAGGGAGACTTTATCCGCGCGCTTCCCCTTTCCTATACCGCGAACAAGTTTGCGTATTCGAAGCGAGGCGTACGCGATATTCCTCGTCGGAGCGAGAATGAGCAGCAAATTGAAATTTACGAGAAACGCGAAAATCTTTGGTTACGCGACTTTAGACTGGGTGGAGTAAACGTTCGCAAAGAGAGGCTCGAAGGACCGTGGCATGCGGTTTCTTGTTAGCTTTTCGTTTGCGTCGACACTTGCGGTTCGAACGAAGGGATGCTTGGCGGAAGGAAGGAAGGAAGGAAGGAAGGAAGGAAGGAAACGGAGGAGGGCGGAAGGAGGAGAAGAAGAGCGAAAGGAAGAAAAGGATAGAAAAGGAGAAAGATCGGAAGAACGAGGATTTCGGCAGAGGCACGAACGATGGCCGCGGGTTATTTGCCGTGTACCAAATTTTCCACGAGGTCGGTAAAGGTACGGTAATGGCGGGTACGTGGTGGGTTATCGATCGTGCATGGGTCGGAGAGCGCGGCCGGACTACGAGAAGAGGAACACGACGCGGAAAGGAAATTTCATCGTTTTCGAAGACGCCACGGGAAAGCTTTCGAAGGCGGTGCGCGGCCCTTTAGTCTGCCGCGTCGCGACTCCTTTCCCGAGAACCGAGCCGACGATGCTTTTACGGTCGAGAAGCCTTTCCTTTTCGTTTATAGTTTCCCGTCTCTTCCTTCTCCGTTCCGCGCCGCTGCCATCCATCCACGCGTCTGCTGCTCCGCGTTACGATCCCCGTAATATTCGTCGGACTTTGCCTCGTCTTTACGCGACCCTAAAATTTAACGCTCCAAAGAAAGATCGAAGTTTTCTGTTGTCGTAGGTCTAGAGTACAGGTTGATGGAAGCGCGAGCCAGCCAAAGCCGAAGCCACACGACGGCTATTCACGGTAATGGGTCGCCAGGTATCCTCGTTTTGTTCCAGTACACAGGTACACCTTGATCGTCCCTATGATCGATTTTAAAGCGGAGCGAAAACCGACGGTCTGTTTTTGGCTCGATCGATTCCACTTTGGACCAACGTTGACATCCATCCATCCGTCTCGCAGAACGACGCTGCGGAAATATTTGACCCATGATTCTCTTCCTTCTGCCCGTTTACGTTCCCCTCGAATACCAGAGAAGACCGAAACTCGGAAATGGCGAACGCTTGGCGCAAATTACGACGGCTCGATAGCGGTGATCAAAGGATTATTAACTAGCCGGGCAACCCGGGGACGGATTCAAAGCGAGACGGAAAGAGATCAGAGTAGGAGAGACGGTTGACGCAGACTGGTTCGCTCACCTGCGACTTCCATGCTGGCTTCTGCGCTGACCGAGTTGAAGCTAGGAGCCTCCGCGCTCACTTCGCATTTGTACCGTCCGCTACTGTGCAGGCTCACGTCCTGCAGCAGCACCTCCTTGTCGTTGGATTTTCGGTGCTGCAACAAACGAGAAGTTGTTCGATAAATCTTCCATGTTAATCGTCGACGCTCGCGGTTACGAAGCATCGATCGGATGGATAGGAACCTTTCTCGAAGAACCGATCTCTCGACGAGCTACAAAGACGATTTTTATTCCGAACTGGATGCGTAAACTACGCGCAAACTAACTGTGTAATACAGAGATTGTTCGAAACCTTGGAAACATCGTGCGAGACCTCGTTGCGAACTAACGGAGGAGCAACCTCTAGAAATCGTTGCCGAAGAAGACCCGAATGTTCAGATTCGCTGTACCGAACGACCAAATATAGGCGTTTAGGCGATCGGCGAACCCAGGTCGAACGCTAATTGTTCGATTCGACCGTGTTTTCTCTCTGGGCTATCCGCGACAGGAAGCAACCTGGGGCTGCCAACGATCGCTTTATCTTTCAAAGGGGATCTCGTGGCCGCGGCAGGCGAGATCGATGCCAGGCTCCGTGTGTCGACGCACTTCTCTGTCGACCTGGAAAAAACCCTTTGCCTCTGTCGACCCGCGTTCCATCGACGAGAGCGAGTCTTTCCCTCTCCGTACCAAAGTTTACCGATACAAATGGAACGAGATGGAGCTTCTCGTTTGATCGAGCGAGCAAACAGCCACCGTTACATTTTCGCACCAATTTTTCCGAAGCTTTGCCACTCTTCGACGCGTCCAACGCCACCGTCCAGCTCTTCGCGTGGCTCGCTGCTGCGTTTTCCACACGCCGTTTGAAATTATTCTTCATAGACAGAATATTACGCTATTAGGTAGGTAAGAGGCTTACGCGCTTATATCGATTTATTGCCATAGTCGCCGCCGGTACCCGCTCTACGTACTGAAAGTTATTTCGGCGAGATAGATGGGTACGGCGGACTTGTTCCACCGGTAAGTAGAAAAGGTACGTCGCTGAGCCGACGTTGCTCAGAGGTGCGTCAGTCCGCCGTCCCCTGCGTCTCGGTTGTACACGTTCGATGTTTCGCTAACAATTTCGATACCGTTGCCAAGCATCGCGAAAGCGGCTAAACACGTTTTGTACGAGTTTTATGCCACGATTTCTAACCTTCGTGACCAACGTCGAACGAAATTTTCCATTCTCCTCTTTACGTAACAAACGTGTTTCCAGCGTGAGTCGTTCGATGCCTGACGAGACTAACTGAACGTCGGCGAGACATCGCGTCGAAGGGTGACGATGCAAAGTATAAGGGTGTTAAGTACGAGGGATCTGCGTAGCTAATTATTTCGAGAAGTTCAATCGGAAAAGGTATCTATCGTAACCACGGGTGTCGCGACGCGATCGAGCAGGCATCCGATCGCGATTCATCCGATCGCTGGAAGCTCGCACGGAAAGGGAAGACCCGCAATAGATGGAATCGCGACGTTGCTAATCCGTTTACCCTACGCGCGGGTCTTTCTGCTCCAACGTTACGAATATTCCCCTTTCTTCGTTCCCGTTTGCACGCGGTCGGTCCGCGTCGCG